CTCAGCCCCCTTATCCCTTTCTGAAGCAGAAATACCTTCTCCGTTTGACATTGTTTGTCGAATGCTAAAGTCATGTTTTGCAAAAAGATGCTTGCGCGCATTTTGCATTCCTCGTATACGAATTGCTGACAATGAGAGACGTTTATTAAAATTCTTCCATGGGTTAGTTTTTTTTTTTTTGCAGTATGCAGCTCTACATATAATATCAATATCATTCTCCAATTTTAAATAATGGAAGTGGGATTATTTTGATGGGTAACTATGCTTACAGAATTAAGGTTGTAGATAGCCTTTGAGGTGATGCGAAGTTGATAATTCCCCAAAAAAACTAAACACATTTTGCTTACGCAAACTACATCCCTTCTAATTTGTCAACCAAAGTTATATGAAGCAAGTTCGCTCAGTTTATTTACGGAAACGGAATGACAAGCAAGTGAAAATGTCGTGTTTAGTTAAGCAGTGACTGAAGCGATACAAATCTAAATAACATAATCATAGAAAATAGGGTCAACACGAAGAAGGATGAGGTAGGACCCGATGATGAAACTTTCGTTAATGCAACAACTGGAGAAAAATGGAAAAATCTAAAGAAAGTGTTGTATTTAGCTTACTGCCAGACATACTTAGTTTAGAAATTGCTATAAAGGCTATAGGAATTTTAGATGTAATTTAAAATTATTGCAAGCCTGTAGTGGTCTAAATCCATAGCAAACGACATTGCTCACTTTTAAAACTAAGCTGTTTAAGCGTGTTTAAAAAAAATAATTTATATACAGTAGAAATAATTTGTCTACACTTAGATAATGCGAGTTATGTTCTTCTCCAACAAAATCACTTCGACAACTATTCCTTCAATATTCAGAAAAGACATACCTGAAGCTTTCATAAGGCCGAATTGTAACCCGACGTTCTGATAATTGCCGTGGTACACTGAATCGTTTGTTGAAATCCCGTTTTGGAGCTGGTAACACTGTTGGCAACTCGCCAGCGTTTGGTGCCAACCCGACGGTCATTCTAAACGGATTGATGTGGATTTTCAACTTCGACAGCTGTCACAATTCGAGCGCTAGTATCAACGACGAATAAACTTGGAAAAAGAATGAGCTCCTAGAGGTAAACAACGATTGTTGCTTGCAATTGTGCTGGATTAAAAGCCAAGGATATAAGAAAAGGCTTTTACTGCATATTTTCAATGAACGAGAGACGTAAAGGTAGGGCAGAATCAGAGACCAACTTTGACTTCAAAACAACTTTGGTGCATTCAGCCATGTGCATATTAAAAGATATTGCCTACTGCTTATAAACAAAAAGAGCAAATTACAAAAATGTTTTGATGAAAATTATTAATTACTTGAAGTTGACAGAGACGTTAAAGATGAGGCGGGACGCATTAGTGCTATGAAATGCCGGCGTCACTTGACAAAGTTCCGCCTTCATGAATGAAGAGTCATAATAGGCATAAAAGGTCATTACCAGCATGCGTCTTAATGAAATACTGTACTTTCGCTAATATATCTAGATGATCTTTTCATTGTGAAAGAAAGGATTTGCCCTTCATGTTCAAATCTCGGCTAAAGCCTTAATTGCGATGAAGAAAAGCTGACAAATTCAGATTTCATTATGAAAAGACTGCATCTCTGCAGGTCCCTGGTTCCCAATAAAATGATAAATTCATTTCTAAAATTATTTGCTCCTCTGTCATCGCTTGCATCCACAGAACTTCAATAAAGGCATATGCGAGCCTTATAGAAATAAAAACGGATGCAAAAGAAATAAAGAGATAGAGGACTTGCTTGAAGGAAATATTGATGTTTCAGATGCTATTAACGTAAGATTCCATCATAATGAGGTAACAAAATTGTTAACATCTATATTTAAGTACTTTTTTATACAATTATGTGGTCGTTCTCTGCATTTCTTTATCACACGTTGCTCTTTTTGTGGCTGCTTTACCTAAACTTCCTTCTTATTACCTATTTTTTAAATGGGAAATAATTAATATTCAATTCATCGTTTGATTAAAAATTCCTCACATTATTTTCTATATTTACAGGTATGAATTTGATATTGATTTTTGAGTTTAGTTCCACAAAATGATGAGCAAAGAAGTACGATTAAACTACACGCATACATGGAGTTGTCGAAAAAACGACCGGGTCCTGATGGGAGTTATACATAATATTGATTTTTTTAAAATAAAACACATTACACTAAGACACTGAATGTATGGATAAGTGAATGAAAGGAACAAGTAAATGAACAAAAGAAAAAGAATGAGTGGGTAAAAAAATGAATGATTAATTGAAGGTGAAAAATTGGGTTAGAATGTTTGACATTAAAGTAAATCTGG